ACAAAAGGATGAGAACAAACAGAAAATGAATCAACAATATACAAAACAGATTTATCAAAAGCAAGTCGAAACAAAAAGGTGTTACGTTGATTTAAAAAGAGTCAACAGTGCCCACAAATCTTAGACCCAGAGACAGAGCATTCCAAAGTGTTGGAGCTACAACCTGAAAAGCACAATCTCCCTTGGTCTTCAGTGTGTGGGACTACCAGCAAACCCCAATCAGAAGACCTAAGAGATCTGCTGGGAGTGTAAGACCACAAAAAGTGCCGGTCCATGCATGGCTTTAAAATCAATAACAAGAATCTTGAATTGTATTCTAAAATTGCTGGGAATACAATAAAAAGTCATCAGAATTGGAGTGATATGTGAGTTTGGCTGCAGCATTTTGTACTAATTGTAAATGGTTAAGAGTGAGTTACAGTAATCCAAACGGGAAGAAATGAAGGCATGTAAAATCATCTCTATCTGAACTGTGGGAACAATGGGCTTCATATCACCACACAAAATATTGTGATACTATGCTATATCCATTTCCTCCCACCTCTATAACCATCATGCAGTTTTCTAAAGCCCTTAGGACTAAGAACCCTTTTAAAACTCTTTAAAATTATCTTCTGTCCATAATAATGGAAAATAAAATACAGTCACTCAAACTCATATTGGGGACTGATGCATCTACATCAAGTCTGCAACCTTGTAAATAACATTTTTCATCTTTCATCTAAAGCTTTTTTCATATTTTCCAAAAAAAGAAAGGGGGAGAAAATATGAATTAACATGTCTGTTTTCACAGTCTGAGCTGTTACACATTTTACACACATTTTTGCAGGGCTGAGATTAAACTGAAACCGTATTAGTCGTAAAAGTGGCTAAGAGTGACATATTCTAAAGATAGATTATGAAACCCAATCATATTCACCGGTTGTTTCTTATCCTCTGCAAACATTTTTTTTTTAATATACTGTAGCTCACAGTTCAGAATAAGTAAGGCAGACATCCACCCTTAAAACCACTGTGTACTGTGTATTTGAAATGTTTCCATAGAAAAGGCAGATAAAAATCACATAAGCTCATAATGAACAAAAATTGCCCCCGGACTTATTTCACTACAATGCAAATCTCCGTCATTAGAATAATTTGACAGTCCTTTTTCTTACATGAAACTCTAAATTGAGGCCAATGAGGTTAAGTACACCACTTCAAGAGAGTGAGCAACGCAACAAAAAGCATCTTTTATTTTGACATCTACCTGTGCTTGCTTGTGTTAAACAGTTATTACAAGCAGATCCAGGTAATTGAGGACAAAGACTTCAAAACAGAGGAGCACTTTGGCTTCCCTTAATGACAGGCAGGAATTTAAGATTAATCGCTTCTCTGTCTTGTACTGGTAGATTCTTGCCCCCCTTTCCATTCCTCTCTCTCTCACTGTATCTTTCTGTCTTTTTCATTTCTGTCTTTGTCATAGAAACATTGTCATTCACTCAAATGAGATAGGAGAAAAAGGCGTTTTGGATTATGTCAGTTTCTACTTGACTATTATCACATGGAGCTCTCTTATTCTGTGTATTAACACTGTTGTGATTCTGTCAGACAAAATAATCAGTGTGACAATAGCCTGTACAACAGGTAATTTCGAGTTTGAAATTGCTTTCATGCAACAGTTCTTCAAGCTGTTAACAAGTTAGTTAACAGTATTAAGCAACAATAAATTCTTCCTTTATGTGTATGAAATCATTGATTTGGGTATGCTATGAAAAGTTGCTTACTTGTTGCTCTGTTTTGCTACCCCACACCAGCTAATGTGTATTTTGTACATCTATACGTGTATTTCTATGTATTGTACATGTAAAAAAAAGAGTCTTTTGAAAGTTCCTCTGTGCATGTGTTAGTCCATTAATGCCAATTAACAAATCTAGAAAAGACACTTTTGCAGTAGTACTAATTCATTAAATAAACCTGAGTGATACATTGGTGTCTCATACAGTTTTGTTCTACTCTATATCAGCACTCAATACATTTTATTGTTTATTCATATTACTTCAGAACAAACTCTTGTATACTTAAAAGTACTATGAACTGTTCTAATGATGTCTGGCAGAATAACGCTCAAATGGACGGCTAATGTCCACTTAAAAGTCCACAAGAGTATTTTGTGGTTTAGACAGAGGATGCTTTCAAGGACGATCAAGATCAGATATAAGTATGACAATTTTGGTAACTCCACTTTGCTTACAACGAATCAAAACTTTTAGGACTTTTAGGACTTATTATTATTTATGATTTATTTTTGGTCTTTTTAACCATTATTGTACAGACAGCACAGAGGGTAGAGCTGGAAATTGGAATTTAGTGTGAGAGAGCGGTAAATGACATGCGGGAAAGATGCCACAGGTCAGATTTGAACCCCAGTCCACTTTGGGGACTACATCCTCTGTACATTGGGCATGCGCACTAACCACTAGGCCACTAGGCCACCAGAGCCCCCTCAAAAGACTTTGATAAATAATGTAGACAGTTATCTGTTGCCTGATATCCTGACAGCAAACTACAACACATTTATGTTGATAACTAGCTGTCCTACCACAGAGGCAACATTGAGAGTGTCACAACCAGCTGCATCACTATGTGGTATGGGAACTGCACGGGCCACAACTGCAAGACCCTGCAACGCATAGTGAATACGGCACCAAGATTATCGGCATTCTCACTCCCCTCCTTTCTGGCACATCTAGCAAAGCATCCAGGATCTGGTGCGACCCCAGGCATCCATCACTCAGACTCTTCAGCCTCTTGCCATCTGGGAGACGGTACTGTTGCCTCTGAACATACTCAACCAGACGTATGAACAGCTTCACCCACAAGGCTGTCAGGAAGCTGAACTCTCTCCCCTCTATACTCCACCTCCCCCCACAACTCTGGACTCTAAATCTTCACCACCCATCATGGAGCTGTACTCTCTCTCTCTTGTTCTATCTCTGTCCTTCTCCCTCTCTGCCTGTCTCTCTCTGTCTCTCTGCCCCCACACACCTCAACAGGAAAATCAAAAAGCACCAGACACTAACATCCCTTGCTAACTTGAAGTGTCCTATAGAATTTGCAGGACATACTTCTGGGAGATTTTTTATTTTGATAGTGGGGACAAGTTTGTTTTCCTCTTGTTTTTCCTCTATTTTCTATATGTAAAATATTTCAGAATAATGTAACAAAAGATGGGTTTACACCTCATAGGCACTACACTTAATGCTCTCACTGTCATTTTTTTTTTTAACACAGGAAAATGTTCAAAGTTAACATTTTGTATTTACTGCCGAAGACTTGATTTTGTATTCATGTCTGCTTACAGGCCAGGAAGCGATCACAACTTTTCCAAAACAATGCAGTTTTGATGAAAAAAATTGCTAAAAATGGGAAATTACAATTCAGTATTGACTGTAATATCACCAAATTGTCATGTGCCCTTTCTTTGTGAAGTTAATGACAGGTGTGCATAAAACACTGTATACACATCTTTGAGCAATGAGACTCAACATGGCTTTAATAACACGTTTGACACGTTGTTTGTTGTGTTGGTTATTCCCTGTTTGTCGGCTAAACACTGATATAAAGACTCTCTGTGGTACAAGTATAAAAAAAAAACAGGCAGCGCTCTATGAATCTAATCATACGGAGAAAAACCAACACAGTAATTTGAGAAGAACGTGCACTGACCCTACAGCAGTTATATTACAGACTTCAAAGTGCTGGAGGAATATGTTAAGAGATCTTAAGAGAGATGTTAAGAGAAAAGGCAATTTAAGCTGATCATTTCAAGCGTGCCCGATCTGATGAAGAGGAGAGTCAGTCAACTGTGAATATGTCTGGTCTGAAATACAACGGCTGCCCTTGTCTGTTGGAGTGCCATCAGACAGGCTTCTGACCTCAAGTTGATGTAAGGCCATTGGCTGTGCTCGTGAGGTCAGGGGTTCAGAGCCGAAGGTACTCAGGGGCTGAGGAATGAGACATGACAGTATTTTTAAACAGTCATTTGTTTTGGATTCAAAACTCTGTGTTAGGCTTTTAAAAGGGACTGATGCAGAGCCGTAAAGATAATCATGGCAAGTTTTCCCCTCCATCTGTTATGTACATCTAACTCAAAGAGTCGAAGATCCATTGAGCAGTTTTGAACGAGCACTTGCTCTAATTCAATCAACGGCTATGATCTGTTCAGTACAATTTGCTCGGGAAGTAATGATTCACTCAACTCACGATGTTGGGTTCACGATACGATTCTCACACAATTTTACAAACTGAGACTGAAGACAAAGTATGAGATGACTGAAAAAGATTCCTTAAATTTTTTCATGAAAACACCAATGCACCTCGTAATCTCTTTGGCTCTTGCACTCGTTTGGGCCCGCTTGCGAGTGTGGTTTGGCCTTGGTGCGGATTAAATGCGGCTTCATGTTGGTTGTGCTATTTGTGTAGTTCCCTGTCTTCTTGAAATATTTGCACACAGTTTTTGTCTCGTCTGTTATCGTCTCACCTCTTTCATTTTCTGTCTTGGGGAAGCCAAAATGCTTCCACATCTCCGATTTAAAAGACGGTGGTGTGGCCTCAATTTCTAAATCTTGCTCTACAGCTGCTGACGCTCACATTATTATTGCGATTGCGAGAGTACTGATGTCTAACTCCTGACAAGAGCTGGATTAGTAGATCCAGATCAATCTCTGATCAATCAATCGAAGTAATACTGAAGAACCAGGGGACTTACTTTTCGGCAAAACGGCTAGCTGTTTCCACCTAAGTTTCACTATTTGGTATCAAAGCTTGCTGAATTTATAGCTCTGTCTTGAACACACTAATGTTGAAGTGATCTAAAATCTAACTTTCTGCAAATATTGAGTGAGCATTTATCGCAAAATATCAAACTTGGTAGGTGTTAAAAACAATAAAAAGGGGCAAAAGTAAGACACACATAGTAGTTATAAAGAAGGCATATATCAACATTCTCCAAAACCTACCTTGCTGCAGTATTTTGCCAAAGTACTTGTTATGGCTAGTGCAGTTCCACCGACGGTACCTGAACTGGTACTGGCACTCCCGAACGCCCAGCCTGGCTCCTTTGGCCACCTCACTGACGATCTCTGGCTGAGTCTGACACAACTCGGCCTGCTTCCCCGCCAGTCGCTTCGCCTTCCTGCAAATGCTGTTGGGGTCCATCACAAGCGGACTGCCAACTGCCCTGCAAAAGGATCAACGATGTTAGAAAAGAGAGTAAACCAATCGTGCTTGCAACTTAAAAAGTGAAAGTTCCCACTTTTTCCTTTGGTGTGCAACACCTGTTAACTTAATCATTTGCCTAAACTCATCTGCAGCCACAAACCATGTATAGGTTTACTTGCTGTGGCTGCCTAGCTTGCCAACTCATGCCCACCACTTCTCAGCTGTGGCGTAAATAGGCTACTTGAATAGACACGTGAGAGACAACAGAGCACTGAGTTTCCCAGAGGAATCTCGGCTCCGATGTCAGATTCCCAAGTCTGTATTTTGCTCTTGGACCTTCCTTGAGAGAACTGTGTGGTCCTCACAAAGTTGGAAGTGAAACAGTTGGAAGTCTCTCAACAGGCAGGCTGTCACTTGATCTTAATGCTGAGTTGATTTCAGCAAACCATATGGCAGACTTTGGAGATTTCCCTGGTGATAAGGCTTTTCTGGAGATTTTGCATCAGTGAGGCGCTTTGCCGCTTAAACCACACGTAGAATCAGCACAAAAAGAAAAATACAAGATTAAGCCAACCTAAATAAAGAAAAGCATGCGTATGATATTACCAAAAAGAGTGAAAAAAAGAGCATTTGAATGTGTGGTGAAATAAATAAAGCATGCCTAATTAACATTAAACACATTTTGTTCTGTGTGTATATTAAAGATGAATAGTTTATTCTGCCTCCTGATGGGGGAGAAAGGCCTGACTCTGTTACTCAAAGAAGCTTCCAGTGCTTGTGGCCTCCTCATTGGCATCACAGGAAAGTGTCTTAAGGATTCATTTCACCTCTTCTTTTTAACTCCAAGGGCAATTATCTACTGATATATCGCTTTCCTGCTTACTTCATCTCTCTTTCTCTTGACTACTCTCAACAGTTTAGTCACCAATTCTCAGTGTGTCATTATGGTCATGACTTTGACCATGAAATAGGAGAGTTCAAATGATGGAGAGAAAAAACATTGACTCTTCATCATACATTTTCAATCAGCCTATTTCCTCTAAATCTCACTGCCTGATATCTTTCATGTCCATGTATGGAGGCTGTGGTCCTCCAAGCGGGCGGCCCAGGTTCGAATCTAGCCTGTGGCTCCTTTCCCGCATGTCATTCCCCACTCTCTCTCTCTCTCTCTCTCCCTGATTTCCATCTCTATCCACTGTCCTATCTCTCCATTAAAGGCACATTAAATAAATCTTTAAAAGAATGACTATACTATAAAGTAAATGCATAATTAATGAATCCACTGTTCATCGCGAATCTCGTCTTAGCCTCATAGAGACATTATAAAAACACTGATAGTGAGACACACAGCCTTTATGTCCACCAGATCTTACCGATTCTTCCTGTCATACATTACATGTATGAAGATAAATGGAGTATTTGTACCTGAACCTACAGCTCAAGCCATGATATTTTGTATTTAACAAGAAAACCTGGATGTGATTCTTAAAGATTATAATTGCATTGGCAAATAAACATACATGAAAAACAAAATGCACACACACACACACACACACACACACACACACACACACACACACACACACACACACACACACACACACACACACACACACACATCTGTTTGCAGACTCCAAGGACACCCTCTGTTGCATTCCTTCTGTGATTATTGAGAGTGTACTGAAAATATCGCTATGGAAACATTCTGTATTTTCAATACAGGTGTTCTGTCTGTACGGTGTGTGCATGAGAACACTGTGTGTGTGTGTGTGTGTGTGTGTGTGTGTGTGTGTGCGTGTGTGTGTGTGTGCGTGTGTGTGTGTGGTATTCGCACAGTTAATTAAATTGCACAGACAGTCTGTATGTGTTAATTAGCAGGTACATATACGGTACTTAGCAACACACACTCCCTCTCAACAACCAATCATTATCTACCCAATCGGGCTGTGTGTGCACTTGTGTGTGTTTGTGTGTGAGTTTGTGTGTTTGAGAGAGAACAAGACAAAGAAAGAAAATGAAACTGATCTACATGGTTGCTAGTGTATTTTTATAAGTATATGTAGACTTTTTATATGTGTCGGAATAGAATTTGAATTTGTTTGTGCATCTGTGTGTGTGTTCTTGTGTGTGTGCGTGTGCATGGGGCAGCACTGGGAAGCTCTGTCAGCAGCTTAGCTAGCTTGTTTTTTTTACAATGGGAGGTGTAGAGCTGTCAAACTTGTGAATATACTGGAGAAGTTTTTGGATGAAGTCCTGGAAGCAACAGACAGAGACAGTGAAAGGGCTTTGACAACGAGAGAAAAGTTTCTCTCCGATCTCTGTTTGCACCAAACAAAGTAAACTAAGTGGACTGTTGAAAGAGAGATTGCTTCTAGACTGAGATTGGAAGTTTGTGTACTGATGCACCTTCAATGAACATAGTTTGCATCAACTTTATTTTAAATGTCTCTCCCTGTTGCGTTCAAAACTCACTGAGTCCATGTTGTTTTTTATGATATTTAAATCTAGATTGGAGACACACCTTGGTGTAAGAAATATCTTCTTTCCTTACTTACTAACGTCTTTCAACATACAGCATATTAATTCAATAAACTCACATTCTAACATGTGATTAATATAATTCAAGTTAATTAATACCTACATACAACAAGTAAGGGGATGCTGACAACAAAGGACAAAAACATTGGGAAGAGCTTTGGAAGACGCTTTTGCAGGAAACGTGGGGGGGGGGGGATTATGTAACCCTTTTGATACAGAATTTTGGTAGAAAACTGATCATCTCCACTTGATGATTTAACGTAAGTTTAGAAACAGGGCATGATGAAAGGAGGATGGGAATGTGGTCTGAATCAGAGAGTGGAGTGAACTGAGATGGAAAAGCGCATTGTCGGTGATATACCCAAAAATGGGGTGCATCAATTGGATAATAGGATGTCTGCAGGCACGTAGCATTCTTGCCCTTGTTTGGAGATCTGTGTAAAAAAAAAAAAAAAAAAAGGGTGCATCCCTGCGGGTTGAATAGAACATTGGCATATTTCAAGTGTGGCAGGTGCAAAGAAAAGCTGAGCTCTTTCATAAATTGGACAGAGCTGGGGTAACTTAGTGGGTTTCTGTGTCTACAAAGTGGAAAGGGGAATCACTGAACGTCAGAATGTGTGATTTAAGCACGTCAGCTGCCAACTGGTGGACTTCATTGAGAAATATAAGACATAATGGTGACTTAGGTGAAATGCTTTGCATCTTTATCTTTTTCATCTCCTTCTAGTAGATCTGTCTCGTGTTTTTCTCCTGTTTTTTGGCCTAAACTGTTGCCTCAATGAAAAAAAATATGAAACATCTCCACTGTGACAAAAAGGGATAAAGGTTTACATTACTCGCTAAATTAATTAACCTACACTGACATATGCAAATGTATGACTTAATACCTGCACATAGGTCTGCACAGTAAATCTTATTTTGATCGTTATTGCAATATGAGCTTTTGCAATAAACACAACTCAAAGGTCTGAATTTTTTTGCAATGAATAATTTTTTTGCGAACAGGAAATGCTTTCTCACTCAGCATGTGTACATTTTACACACTCTTACACCGTTTTCATGCAGTCAGATTAAAATCAAGCTATAAATTTTCAGATGAAGTTATCAGATTAAGTGGTAAAAAAATATTGATTAATTTTGGATTAACAAAAAACATGTTGCAAACAGCTATAGCTAAAGTTAATACACATTCTGAATAATGTTTCGTAAGGCTGTGTTGGTTGTGCAATAGTGTTTCTATATGTTTTTATATTCTCTTACCTTCGTTATCGTACCTCTCATGCTGTGTTTTTGCAGATGCTGTGCTATATGGGTAATGTGCAATATAAATTGTGTTGTTTTGGATTGGTATGTGCCTTTCTGTTTACATGTGGACGTGGATATGTCCAATGGGACAATAAAGTATATCATAGCTTATCAATTCATTAGTATTAGCTTATTTATCACACTTAATATCATTATCACAATATCGTAAAGCAGTTTTGCGTATCACATTTTTACCTCATATCCGGGCCTAAGATAAAATAGATTTAAAGTTTGAAATAATTAAATCATGATTCAGATGATTCAGATGTAAATTGGCCATATTTTAGAAATATCTATATTTTTTTCTGTGGCAACCCCTGACTGTGTGCTCCTCCTATTGCCTTGTATCTCTCTCAGGTTGCCTTCAGGTAGAAAGAAACTGAGACACTTAATTTGATGTCGTACAACATGGGAAGGCTGGGCGTGGGGATTTAAGCTGGCTTCTAAGTCTTTGTTTTGCCTCCACTGATTTACAGACTGCATATTCTTTTATTAGCATATTTTGCCTTATAGTTTTCAATAAATGATTGTTTAAATAACTTTAAAACTGTGTGGTGTCCCTGTTTGTCCAGCTCACTGAGCCTGGGTTGTGACATTTCATATCGCAATTCATGTCGCTGATAGAAAATATACGGCAATGACACTTTTTTTTTTCAATGTAGTTCATCCCTGATGTACAATTATCCAAGCCGCAGCATTTGTCCCGTGCAGGCATGCACAGAGATAAAGCAGAAGTACACTTTGAGAGGGAACTACAAAGGCAGAGACGGTAATCAGATCCTTCTTATGAGAGTGCTGCTGTTCTTCTGCCTGTCATTTATGATATGGTGACAGAACAGGTAACTCAGATAAAACATGCAGTCATTCATAGCAGCAGCTATGAGGAAATGGAGTTTTGCATGAACAGTTTTTCCTGTTGATAAAATACTAAAGCGGGGGGGGGGGGGGGGGCACATTCAGAGATAAAATCATTAAAAGTAACAAGCATATCGAAATCGTGATATCAGTACTATCGATGCTGCTTTACCACATGCTGCAAGTCAACAGCAGGTTTGCTCCAGAACTGCACCTTTATCTCATAGTGTTTGCATGTCTTGAAGAATATAATTTAAGCCTATATATTAGCTCAACCTGTAACAAAACATTTCCAAGTGATGATATTGGAAATAAGAATTC